TGCCAGTTTTCTTCTCCTTGCCACGTTGCGGTACAACACGACATTCTAGTTTCTCCCGATGCTTCGTCAAAGACACATTTAGTGCAGTGTCTGTAGTCCTTGGTTGGGCCACAATGAGAGAACAGTACTTGAAGAAATATTTCTCTTGTAAGAATACCATGGCAGAGAGACCCTCTGCCCCTGCTTTGCATTGCTAACAGTTATTCGATTTTATATTTTTTTTTTTTTTTTTGAGACGGAGTCTTGCCTGTCGCCAGGCTGGAGTGGCAGTGCCGGATCTCAGCTCACTGCAAGCTCTGCCTCCGGTTCACGCCAGTCTCTGCCTCAGCCTCCCAAGCAGCTGGGACTACAGGCGCCGCCACGCACGACCCGGCTAGTTTTTTGTATTTTTTTAGTAGAGATGGGGTTTCACCGTGTTAGCCCAGGATGGTCTCGATCTCCTGACCGTCAGATCCGCCCGTCTCGGCATCCGGCCTCCCAAAGTGCTGGGATTACAGGCTTGAGCCACCGTGCCCGGCCAGCATTTTATATTTCTTTAATGCAACCTATCAGGAAATTATTATTTGAGACAGACTCCTCTGGGAAATGAATAACCCAGGAGGCACTGATTCCTTGCTGAGAATGCTGAGTGGTTTGTCATTTTACATAAAATCACATCCTTCAAATATTGTGTGTGTTGGAGCAACGAAAGAACTGTTCATGCCTTATGAGTAACTGACATTCAGGAAGGCCAACTCCATCATGCAGATGTCTATCTTTAATTGCTAGCTCAGAAGTAGACAGAGCTTCCTGGGACCTGGCTAAAGTAACTGATAGATGGAACTCTTCTGTGGGGACTATTACTAATATTTGCAAATGGGGTCAGAGCCTCATCTGTGCAGAGCATGTCACCATATATGGTTTCATGTAATCTGTAATTATTTGTTCCAACAGCCTTTAACATGACTATTGTTTGAAAAAAATGGCAACTTTTAATTCCCCTTTGATGCTTCTAGCTTTGTTTAGTATTTTAAGAACTCATACAGTACTAGGTATCTTGGTCCCTCTGAGGAAAACATGTGGACTCTCACCAGTCCGTTGTGCTCAGGACTGAGCAGTAGCATGTGTGCAGGGCAGCTGCAGAGGTGAATACTGATTGCCCCTTCTTCCTACACAGGGATATCTGCATTACCTCCACCTCCTCCACCTCCACCACCACCAGCAGCTCCCTTGCCTCCTGCGAGCACCGAGGCACCTGCCCAGCTCTCGTCTCAGGCTGTGAATGGCGTGAGCCGAGGGGCCTTGCTCAGCTCTATCCAGAATTTCCAAAAAGGAACTTTGAGGAAAGCCAAAACCTGTGATCACAGTGCTCCGAAGATCGGCTGAAGCTTCCTGTTTACACTTGGAGGGAAAAGTTGTTTTTTATTCCTACTCACCCCTACCCCCAAACTACCCTCTTCCTGGGAAAATAATTGCTGAGCCAGTACAGCCACAAACAGTACTATTTTGCAGATGCTCATGTAAGAAGCTTTTCAAGAGAGAAATAATTCTTTAAGCAGAATAAAGTTAGGCTGGCATTGCTCCCTTAAGATTTTGCTCCTTTATTAACCCTGTAAAGGAGTCTTGTTTATCCTCTAATGGGCATGCTTCAGGGGCAGCAGCATATTGAAATATTTTCACCAACTAAAGGAAATAGACAGAAAAACAATGATAATATTCAATCACAGCAGTAAATGGCCTTTGTGTTGCAAGCCCTTCTACCCCATCAGACAGCTCCTAGAAACATTCCTCTTACAGTTCATTTCTCTAAAGCATTTTCTGATTCTTAGATAACTCCAACTTTTGCTACTTTTATCTTAGACATTAACACTATAGCCCAAAGCATAGTTACTTTGCTGAATCAGAAAGCAACTGAGTCCTTCGTTTTCCCCTCAAATAGAATGGGGAACATTCACAACATTCTCTTAAGTTCTAACAGTAATACCATTGTGGTTATAGAACTCAGGGCTGCTAAAGCAACTACTCTAGACCCATAGTTCTTTTTAGTTAGAATGTATTGAAACAGACAAAAATATTAGCATCAGAAAAAGCTATGGCCTATTAGAGGATCTTCTTAATTCTCAGCAATTAAGTTTGGGGTTTGAGGGGGGCAGGTAATTGTTACAACAGAAGTCAATTTGGCATCTATAAAAATCAATTAAGATGTTTGAAAGATTTATTTAAATATATCAATATAGCATCTTTTTAATGTTACTCATTTATTAGATCCTTTATCCTGATTTGCTTAAACCTTTCAATTGCACTTTAAAGGATTATAAATAATCCATTTAAAAATTCAAGTACACACATCAGTGTTGGTTACTATGCAGAGAGAATGTCATTGTGTATAGTTTCATGTAATCTGTGATAAATGTCAGCTGTATTTTTTATTAAAATGATGTCAAGAAAACGTGTTGTCTGTAGCTTGATGAGATATTTCAAATGATAACTTTTTGTAGCATCTGTTGTTAAGAATAGATTCACACAGTCTGAGGTTTCCTTCCTGCCTATCCTGTCTCTATTCTTTTGTGTCTCACTTTTCCTCTAAGAACTAAAAATCCTGTCTTGCTACTTAAATTAGGTACCACCTATATGCTTCTGTAACTAATTTAAACCCATCTTTTCCATCTCAGCTTCTGAAGAGGGCAGTATTTGACAGAATATCTGATCTTTGGCAATGGGAAAAACACCTGACATAAACTTTGCCATAATTTTAAAAAGAATGCTATTAGAATTAGGCATTTAGAGAGTCAGTGGAGAAGTTCCTGTTTCAAGTGTGATGCAACCTAGGTGATGACCTGATGAAGGCTTGAGGCCTGAGTCCTTCTGAAGTCAGTTTTGCTGACTATTTTGGATAGTTCAGATATATGAATACAAACAGGTAATTCTTGTACAGTACAGCTTATTTTTCACATGGCACTAATTTCTTTTGTTGTTATTTTTAAGACAGGGTTTTGCTCTTTCACCCAGGCTGGAGTGCAGTGACCCAATCACAGGTCACTGCAGGGCTCCAGCGCCCCTCCTATAGGCACACCACCAGATACCTGTTTTTTGGGTTTTTTTGTAGGCAGTGTTTTCACAATGTTGCCCCAGCCTGGTCTCAAACTCCTGGGCTCAAGCAATCCCTGCCTCAGCCTCCCAAAGTGCTGGGATTATAGGCATGTGCTACTGTGCCTGGTGGCACTAATTTCTTAATAGAATTTCAAGTTTTCTACCCGCATTGACTTTTTTTCTATCTTATCTTTGTAGAGATGGGGTTTCGCCATGTTCCCCAGGCTGGTCTTGAACTCCTACACTCAAGGGATCCACCCACCTTGGCCTCCCAAAGTGCTAGAATTACACGTGTGAGCCACCACCACACCCAGCCAATTCTTTTTTTTTTTTTTTTTTTTGAGACAGTCTTGCTCTGTTGCCCAGGCTGGAGTGCAGTGGCGCCATCTCGGCTCACTGCAAACTCCGCCTCCCGGGTTCAAGCAATTCCCCTGCCTCAGCCTCCCAAACAGCTGGGACTACAGGCGCGTGCCACCATGCCTGGCTTTAGTAAAGATGGGGTTTCACCATGTTAGGATGGTCTCGATCTCCTGACCTCATGATCCGCCCGCCTTGGCCTCCCAAAGTGCTGGGATTACAGGCATGAGCCACCACACCCGGCCCAGTCAATTCTTTTAATATAAAAATATAATAGTCATGGCCAGGTGTGGTGGCTCATGCCTGTAATCCCAGCACTTTGGGAGGCCGAGGCGGATGGATCACCTGGGGTCAGGAGTTCAAGACCAGCCTGGCCAACATGGTGAAACTCCACCTCTACTAAAAATACCAAAATCAGCCAGATGTGGTGGCTAATTTCCTACTCCTGAGGCTGAGGCAGGAGAATCACTTGAACCTGGGAGGCAGAAGTTGCAGTGAGCCGAGACTGTGCCACCACACTCCAGCTTGGGGAACAAAGCCAAACCTTGTCTCAAAAAAAAAAAAAAAACCCCAGTCATAGTGAGGAATTAATTCCTTTATTCCTTATCAAAACAAACTAACAGTAAATGTATACTATATGCTTTAATTTTATACATATAAGTTATCTTGTTTGGATATATCTTTCATCAGGACTCTGCCACATCCATACTTTGTCCTTGTGGTGAGACAGGGTAAAATGTTATATAATTTGTTATTCAAAGAACGTGGCAACTGTAACAGACAAAAGGAAGCATGGCATCTAGGGCAGGAGAGTGGAGAGTTTTCCCCACACAAACACATTTAAACTTCCCTGTACAAAAACACCTGCTGTTGCTTTAGAAATCGTTTTCCTTTATGAGTAGTCAGGTCTTGCAGTACAAGTGCAGTGCCAGCAAGTATTTCAAATAAATTTCAATGACTTGATACTCAAGTCCAAACTAAATATTTAATGTTTTCTTTATTGCAAATATGATGTCTTTGACCTGAGGTATAGAGTTGTCTTCTAGAATCTTTGCATAAGGCATAGGGACGTCAGCACCAGTGACACGAACAGCAGGAGCATCCAGGAAATTGAACGCAGGACCTAGAAGGAAGGCTCAACTGAGAGAGAGCAAATGCCAGCTGGGCACTACCACCTTGGCACAGAGGTGTGGCTCACCAGGAAGAGAAAACATAAGGAATGCTAATTATGGGGAACTGCTTTCTGGATTTGCTTTTAAAATATTTGCCTGAGGAGAAATGCCAAACTTACAAGTTTAAAGTTCAAGTCGTTTGGCCACTCCTAGCTTTCAATCTCTTTATCCTGTACGTATTCAGGTACATGATGTTTACTACAGCTTGACTGTATTCTAGAACCAGTTTCTTTGAAATACCTTCCATGATCCTGGCACAGATTTCAGCTCCTACTCCAAACTGTGGCCAGCCTCCTTCCACAGTTACGAGATGATTTGTCTTCATGACACTGGCTTCTATGGTTTCCATGTCCATTGGTCTGATGGTGCGCATATTTATCACCTAAACAGGTAATATAATCAAGTTTACAGAGCTATTGAAGCACAAATAGAGCCTTATCCCCATAATACCATTTCCTTTTTTGTTTCCTTTTAATCTTTGTATCTAGGAAAATCTAATCTGCCTATGAATAGGTACATGAATGTACAAACTGTAAAAGGAGAAATTTTAATTAAAACAAAGATCTGTATGTCCACCACAAGCAGGTCTGTGCAGTTATAGGATTCATTCATCTTCCTTCACTTTTTTTCTTTTGAGATGGAGTTTTGCTCTTGCTGTCCAGGCTGGAGTGTAGTGGCGTGATCTTGGCTCACTGCCACCTCTGCCTTCGCAGTTCAAGCCATTCTCCTGCCTCAGCCTCTGGAGTAGCTGGGATTACAGGCATAGACCACCACACCCAGCTAATTTTTGTACTTTTAGTAGAGATGGGGTTTCACCATGTTGGCCAGGCTGGTCTCGAACTCCTGACCTCAGGTGATCCACCACGCCCAGCCAATCCTCCTTCACTTTAAATTCCCTCATCAAAATGAGTAACAGTTAACAGCTGAGTGCCTATCATGTCCCAAGCACTACACTAAATGTAATTCTCACAACTGCCCTATCATGGGACAGCATTATCCCCATTTTATAGCTGATGAAACAGATTTAGAGTATATAACTTGCCCAAGTATAACTAGCACATGGTACGTTTCTAAAAGATCCAGAACCTCAGAAGGGTGAGGTGGGAGCATCACTTGGGCCCAGGAGTTAGAGGTTACAGTGAGCTAGGATTCAGCCACTGCACTTCTGCCTGAGCAACAGAATAAAACTTTTTCTCTCTCTCTCGGGGGGATCACTGAGAACCAGAAGAGGTTCAGAGAGCTCCCCATCTCTCAAAAACAAGATCCAGAACCTAAGTGACCTGAGTGGTAAAAAGCTAAGTATGTGAACTGCAGGCAGGTTTCCAGCTTTAAGCAGAGACACAAATGAGTGACAAAGCAAGGTTTTACATCTAATTAACCTGTTACAGAACTCTTCTGGGTCTTAAATCTAAAAGGAGCCTTTCTAATTCTTTAAGAACAAGTAAATGACCACTCACCTCACATTCAACTCCCTCTTTAGATAGCACTGCTGCAGCTTCTAAGCAGTGGCCCACAGGTCTCGAATGGGAAACCACAGTTATATGTGTTCCTGAAAACAGAGTGGTCACAGATGAGAGATCAGATTGAAACTGAAGATGCTACACCACTGTGCAGCCAGCTGTGGCTCTTGTTCATTCATAAAGTCTTCAACTCAACTTCATTCCAGTGAGCCGAGGAATGTGGCAGCCTTCCTAGAAATGAAACACAAACCTACCAGACTGAGATCTAGAAAAGCACAACTGAATGAGAAATTGGGGCATCACACATTCTTAACTTGAGCTCATTCTATAATTTTTCAAAGTATATGACAGTAAGTTGTAGGTTAAATTTTACCAAAATTGAGGGACTGGATTAAAAATACTGTTTATGTATCTTAGTTCTCTTACCTTGCCTTTCTATTTTGGCTTTTCCAATAGGAATCAGAAAATCTTTTGACTGAGCTTCCGGAGGAAATTCAAAAGGAACCCCATACATCAATTCATTCTCTAGCACCACGACTGAAAAACATAAATATTTAAACAAAAGTAACTAATCACATGCAGAATGACTAAAACTATACAAAGCAACATCATTCATCTTGTGAGAAGTTTCACTGTGCTGATTAGCCTTATTTCTACCACGACCAGCAGCCTTGAGAGCAGTTTAGGTACTTAAATTTGTAGTTTGGTCAATATAATTTTATCTATTAAAACCAGTATTGTGGGTGTGCAGTAAATGTCTCCCTTACCTAGCTGGCCCCCTTATAGTTGGAAATAGGAAAAGCAAGCACATTCTTTACTGTCTTTACTATATAAATTATTAACATTTTATATGATATATCTAAGCCTAACTAAAAGACTTTAATGGTTTCCTCTGTGCAAATATATCATTTTAGTTTTTCAATTTTCAAAAAAAAAACCAAAGGGTCCCTGTGCTGACCTGGATTGTTATCCCGAATGGCTGATTTAATAAGTCCTTTAGCATCCTCTGAATTCCAGGGACTGACCACCTTTAAGCCTGGGCAGTGCCCATACCAGGCAGCAAAGCACTGTGAGTGCTGGGCAGCTACACCTGCTGAGGCACCATTGGGCCCCCTGAAGACTATAGGCACAGGCTGAAGGCCACCAGACATGTAGTAGGTCTTGGCAGCTGAGTTTATAACCTGGTCAATGGCTTGCATGGAGAAATTGAAGGTCATAAATTCACAAATGGGCCGCAACCCAGCCTGTAAAATCAAAAATGTGGATGTTAAAAAGACTAGAAACAGCAATAAAGACTAGCAAACAATTACTCCAAGTCTTCCAACATTCAAATAATGTTTTTATTTTTTATAAACAGGGTTTCACTGTCA